CATTGGCATAATAGTGTTGGTGCTGCTGCAGTCTATCTATCATGGACGAGTCTTGTTCTGTTCATGAGGAAGTTTCCTAAGCTTGGTATATATGTCGTAATGTTTACTCATATTTTCAAGACGTTCGCACGGTTTTTTCTGGTATTTTTTCTATTCATCGTTGGGTTTGGTCTTGGGTTTCATATTCTTATATATAATCAGGTAATGAAGAATGGAATATATATTCAATACCTTTTGTTTAGCCTGAGTTACATCCAGCGTTTACACGTAAATGTAAGCAGGCTTCTTTTCAACTTAATCTTCAAGATTCCCCTCATTCTCCTCCCCCGTTGTCCTTTTTTATCAGCATAACACTGGAAAAAATCGTTCACTTTAAAAGGTTGTAAATTTGATGTAAATATTATGTAAGTGTCCAAAATGATGTAAATTTGATGCTTAAATTTGATGTAAATTTACATCAAATTTACATCATTTTGGACACTTACATAATATTTACATCAAATTTACAACCTTTAAAGCGCGCGATTTTTTCCAGTGCTATCACAAGTATTCATAAGTCATTTTATTAATCTCATTGCCAGCATCCATTCTCGACGCCTGGTCGTTCTATGCTAAAGATCACGATGGGCATGCTGGGAGARTTTGAATACGATACAGTATACAACGAGAATGAGGTGCCGGCCGTTGCCTGGGCTCTCTACGTCTGCTTCCTTGTGATTAACTGTATTATTCTCATGAACCTACTGGTACGTCTTTCATATTGAAGTCAGAGTCCTGTCATTGACACTCTGTCGCGATCTAATCTTCGATCGGATGTTTGATCCAAATCGTTTGACATTTGTGATGATGATTATCTTGATGACAATTATGATGATGATGATAGTGATGATGATGATGATAATGAAGGTGTCTGTGCGATTATGTTGAAACAAGCGCAATTCTAATTTAAAAAGTCGTCAAAGTCATTGTCAAAGTCTATTAAGTTCCCTGATGATGATGGGTATGATAATAATGATTGTGAGTGTGATGATGATGATGATGATGATGATGATGATACTATCATTATTTTGGTCGAGAATAATATTTCATTATCTCGATGTCTTCCGTCTCCAGGTCGGTCTTGCTGTTGATGATATCAAAGGTGTACAAGAAAAAGCCGCTCTACGTAGACTTGCTATGCAGGTACTCTGACCTCGACAATGAAATAAAGATCCCTATAAACTAGTCAACTTTCTCTCTACTGGCATGTACTGGGTTTTCTGCTGTGGGACTTTCAACTCATTAGAATACTTTAATTATTAAGTCTACAACTTGATTTCGTCAAACGCCCGGCACATGAAAAAGACAAATGATAACCTACCAAATTTGGAAGTTTTCCGATAATTGTAAATGCTGCCGTAATTATTATGCTAGCACCCTGATTTCAAAGTTTTTAATTTTTCTCTAGGTTGATTTAGTGCTTGATGTCGAGAAAGCCCTTCCAGCGATTCTGCGTCGTCGGTTTGCTACTCAGAGAGAAGTTGTTTATCCTAATAAAATGAAGTACTGTAGTATCTGGTCATTCTGGAATACCAGGACAACTAGTCCAGCAAGAACGATAAATGAAGCCATGAACCCAGAAAAGGTTAGTTGGCATTGTGTGTCAGTCCATCTTTTTGTCGACTAGTTAAGGGGACCCGAAGGTCCTCGAGATTGCCTTACTCTCGAAGTTGAAAAAAGTAATCTGACCATTTTGGGAGTAGTAATAAGAGATATTTTTTATATATATATATTTGTTTCTTCGCCATGTTTTTTGTACAGACGCCCATTGAAAAGCTTCAACGACAACAAGACAACTTGAAAGACGAGGTGACACATTTGAATCTKAAATTAAAATCAGTTCTTCAACATACTACTCAACTTGARATCATGATGAAAGCCATGATGAAACACCATGGAGTGTCGGTTGAGGACGAACAGAAGGGAGAAGACGACGAGTAACTCTTCGTGACTCCGAATGAATTCCGATCCGTGCCGACTTCAGTCCGAAAGAATCACGACTGAATATAGATTTAAACTTATTGAGCGAGATCAAAAACCTTGGGATACTGAATTAACGGCAGCTAAAACACGATCAAACTCGACTAAAGTACGATGGAATCCGACTTTTTTCCGATCACTGCCGACCTAAACACGATTCGACTCGGGTACCTGTCGATTTGAAGACCAAATTATGATGACAAAGAATCTTCACAAATATTGACAAACTCCAATTACACACCTGACCCGAAACTGAAATAATGCATAAAAAATCCAACTTTACAAATATTTATTTCTGTAATTTATTAGAGCAGATTTCGTATGAGTGGGAAACGGACGGTACTGTACTGTGACCGTAATCGTACTGTAACCAAATTCTAGTGCCCCATTGGTTCACCAAAAATGTGAAGGCCAGGTCCGGTAACCGTGCGGTAACCGTGCGGTAACGGTGACCCACTCATACGAAATCCGCTCTATCAAGTGTCGAACATTTGAATGTGCATAAAAAGACAAAATTCACAAAGTATAAAACTTACATATTTATTGCTTCACTGACT